GGTAGATTTGATGAACCGGTTCTACCGAATAGGTGCGAACTGGTAGGAACCCACCTCTGGACCATTGTAGCCAAGTAGATCATGGAAACTTAGCTTTTTTTTCCCCAGTCATGTTTATTGCGGAGGGGGGATATAGCCGTGAAAGCCAGCTGGGTGACCTTGGGCCAGTCACTCTCTCTCAGCCCCACTCACCTCACAGGGTTGTTGTGAGGAAAATAGAACGAAGGTACACATCTTGGATATTTAGGTATGTGGTGGCTCAGTGGCTAAGACGCTGAGCTTGTCGATCAGAAAGGCTGGCAGTTCAGCAGTTTGAATCCCTAGCGCCGCGTAACAGAGTGAGCTCCCGTTACTTGTCCCAGCTTCTGCCAACCTAGCAGTTCCAAAGCATGTAAAAAATGCAAGTAGAAAAATAGGCTCCACTTTGGTGGGAAGGTAAACAGCGCTCTGTGCACCTTTGGCGTTTAGTCATGCCGACCACATGACCACAGAAACGTCTTCGGACATTGCTGGCTCTTCGGCTTTGAAACTGAGATGTGCACTGCCCCCTAGAGTTGGGAACGACTAGCACATATGTTTTGAGGGAAACCTTTACCTTTACCTTTATCCTGGATATGCTCACTGCCTTGAGTTATTTGTAAAAATATTAAAGATGGGATACAAATAAATAATATGACAGGAATTTTGTTCAGTCCATTTGTGAATCCAACCAGTGAGTTGGCACTTAGATTGAAAAGGAAATGACTTGATTCCTGAGGCAGAGTTATGTTCCTGTCCACTTCAATTCCAATTTATATTGTTTTATTGAGCATGGCCAAGTTGATATCTTAATTAGTTTTCCCTTTAAGGACCATATGGGACTTTGGGAGAGCAATTATTTTTTATTTTAATAATATGTATACTTGACACTCTTTTAGCTTGCATATTATTCTCCTTGGACCAATTTGGAAGCTAATCCCTTCCAATCAGGAATCACGTAGGGCATGGAAGGCGCACTCTGATCTAATAGCCAATTAATTTGGCTGCAGAACAATATCACTCAGGGCATATAATCCAACCACTGAGAGTGAAGGCAAGTTAATTAATGAAAACATTTTCACAAGGGCTGCCCCAAAATGCCAAGGAAGGCAGTTTTTTCTGCACTAACATAAACTTTCTTTGGAAAGAAAAAAGCTAAGGGTTCGGTTGTAATACACGTAAGCTTTAATTGGATTGTTGGTTTAGAGCAGGGGTGTCCATCCTTGGCAACTTGAAGATTTGTGGGCTTCAACTCCTGCGCTGGCTGGGGAATTCTGCAAGCTGAATTCTGTAAGTCTTAAAGTTGCCAAGGTTGGACACCCCTGATTTAGATCTTAAAAAGAAGGATCACTCAACGGTGATCAGGATCATTTTTAGGAAATTGAGAAATCAGCCAGCAGTGAGGGAAAAAGTAGTGAGGAACTATGGATAATTATGCCGTGCATCATATCCTGGCTTGCTTACAGATGTAGCAAGGTCAAGAACCAACATCTGAATGAGGAAGTAGGTTTGCATGCCAAGGAAACATTCAGCCTCCAACCTGCACCCCCAGTGTACATTCCCCATGCCCTTTCTTTCTCTCTCCACTCCATCCTACTTAACAGCTCTGCAAGGAAATCCATGCCATACCGTGACCTGTGTAAACAGCTTCCTGCCCCACCTATTTTAAACAACCACATGACTTTCTTTTCTTTCTTTTCTTTCCCCAAGATCACGTTCTTTTGAATGCATTGTAGTTTGGACTTCAACTCCCAAAATGCCCATCCAAGCTGAACATTGTGGGAGTTAAAATCCATTAGATCTGATGGGTACCAGCTTGGGGAGGTCCTTATATTGTTTCTAAATTCCTTCAACCAGCTTGTGAGGTGTCTTCATGCTCTATTTGTCTGTTCATCTCTCTGTGTTCTCCACTTCTTTTCAGTTATCAAGTATCCCTGTCCTCTGGAAACCACCATTTTTTTCTGTTCTCCAGTGGAGACCCTTTTCTGTTATTCTCCGTCACGTCAGAACGCTGCATCCTTTTGACACTTATGCATGTGGACCTTCTAATTTTTTAAATTCAGATGCTTGCCAACACCCGCAAATGTTCACATACTGTGCTCCCATGTCCCTCGCACGTAAAGAATGTTCACATATCCCATTTTAATAATGAACACTTTGTTGTTTTATATCATGATATTGGGTCCCTTTTTACAGATGACGACCCTGACAGCACCGTGGATGATCGAGACAGTGACTATCGCAGTGAGACCAGCAACAGCATCCCACCCCCTTACTATACAACCTCCCAGCCCAATGCCTCCGTCCACCAGTACCCCATACGCCATCAACAGCGAGTATCCCGAGACTCCTATACAGATTCTATGCAGGGTTATGAGATGGACTATTCTAACCATCGGCCAATCAGGTAGAGTGGATGCAGCCTGGAACTTGTTGGGAAAAGTAGGGAAGGGTTTCTTCCCCCTAGAAGGTTATAAAATGGGGAAAGAGCATGATATGTCATGGTAGACATAAAGCAACAACTCCAGCCTTCTGTCTCAAACACAGTATACCCAACATGTGTTCATACAGGTAATCCTCAATTTACAACCAGAATTGGGACTGGAAAATTTGTCGTCGCACGACTGCACCCAATTTTACAATCTTTTTAGCCACGATCATTAAATGAGACATCACGTGATCGCGCCCTGCAACACCCCCCCCCCCCAATTGGACTTCTTACTGACTTTGCTTGTCAGAAGCTAATCGGAAAGGTTACGAAGGGGGAATCATCCTAAATACCTCCCAGTTGCCAAGGGTTCCACCACAAAACCGCGGTAGACAAAAGCACGCTCGACGAAAGCGCGTACGTGACGTCATCACAGCGCGACGAAAACATCGCGCTGTGAGCGGTAAATTTAAAATTAAAGCGAAAACCTTACCCTAACCCCCCCAAACCTAACCCTAACNGGGGGCGATATGCTGACTCTGTAAACGGCTTAGAGAGGGCTGAAAGCCCTATGAAGCGGTATATAAGTCTAACTGCTATTGCTATTGCTAACCCAAAGATTCCAGCCATAGTTGTCAGCAAAATATCAAGAATTATGTTCTCTAGAGTCTAGACCATGGGTACTAAAGGCCAACAATTCTTGCTAATTCTTGCTAATTCTCAGCACTTAATCAGGACAGGTGAACTGCTCTTGTATATTGAGGCTCCATTATATGTTATGATTAATAGCTGTTGAAAGATTTACTATCCATACTATATAAACACATGCGAACTCAGCCCCTATTGATCAGACTAAGGAGCCAACTTGCTTCTGTTATTAATACTGAATAAGCTGCTCCCCAAAATCTTACTCCTCAGTGCCTGAATCCCACAATTTATTCCTTCTTCACTTTTTTGTAAGTAGGGTGTAATTTCATTTCTGTTACATCTTCCATGCAACAAACTCAGATCCACTCAGTCAGGGATTTTTTTTTTCAATGACATCACTGAGGCACGTAAGAACAACAAAATGTGTTTCTAAAGAAGCACACACCTTTACCTTCTTGAGAAATGTCCATAGCTCTACTTTATGCACCAAAGACAAATACCTTGTGTGTCCAATCACACTTGGCCAATAAAGAATTCTATTCTATTCTATTTATAATTAGTTAAAATGTTAGCTTAATCAGGCATAAATAGTGCAATGCTTTCAGGCATATCACAAGGATTCCTGCCTCTCCAATGAAATGGGGTGAGAAATTCCAGTAAACAGACAAAGATTAGGATAAGGAGCCCCATCCTTTTGAAGTACATTGGAAAGGGAGGTTCTTATACCTTGCTGACCACCTCTGCAGATGCTGCTGGTTACAAATCCCATCTTGGGTTGTTTTTTTCTGCCCATCCTGTAAATGCTCTGCTTCCTCTTCTATTTGTATGCTCTATTTTGTTTTATGAGGGAACGTAGTGGCTCAGTGGCTAAGATGCTGAGCTTCTCGATCAGAAATGTCAGCAGTTCAGTGATTCGAATCCCTAGTGCCACATAACGGAGTGAGCTCCCGTTACTTGTCCCAGCTTCTGCCAAACTAGCAGTTTGAAAGCATGTAAAAATGCAAGTAGAAAAATAGGAACCACCTTTGGTGGGAAGGTAACAGCGTTNTCGCGCTGCTGATGACGTCAGGTACGTGCTTTCGTCGAGCGTGCTTTAGTGGACCGCGGTTTTGATGGGTCACGGTTGCCAAGTACCCGAATTACAATTAGGTGACCACAGGGACACTGCAATGGATATAAGTGTGGCAGTGGTTGGATTCAGATTTTTTTTTTACTACCGGTTCTGTGGGCGTGGCTTTGTGGGTGTGGCAAGGAAAGGATACTGCGAAATCCCCATTCCCTCCCCACTCTCAAAATTTCCGCTACCGGTTCTCCAGAACTGTCAGAACTGGCTGAATACCACCTTTTTCAGTGCCATTGTAACTTCGAATGATCGCTAAACAAATGGTTGTAAGTTAAGGACTACCTGCAACAAACATACAGTACAAAAGTAGTTTCTATGCTCTTGATCTCTGCCTCTGGTTACTCAGAGGTATATAGCAGAGTACGGAAGTTCCATTTGTATCTGTCACAGCCTCAACCTCTCCAGGCCTTTCGACAGCTCCTTTTGAACTGGGGTCATATTTAGAATGGAGCGAGGGCCAAATAATCGACAGAATCTGCTCCATTCGTTACTGGCAAGGTTCAAGAGCTGAAACCATTGCAATGGATCCCGAGCCAAATTCTGAACGATAGTTAACAAGCAGCCCTTTTTCCCTGCAGCTCAATTGGCTTTAATATCCTTCGCTATTTCCTTTCCCTCAGCTTGGTTTTTAGCTCAAGCCCATTGGAACGTATGGGGGAGAATCTTGCCAAAGTCCTTCTGGGTATATATACAAAGTGAGGGAGGAAGAATTTAAAACTTGACACGGATCCAGAATGGTAGAGGCGTGTGGTGGCTAGCCTGGGGATTAGAAACCCTGATAGCACTCCAAGTAAAAACATTGGCCTCAACTGCCGGGGGTGGGGGTGGGGATGGGGGGGTACACAGCAGGTCTCCTAATTGCTTCTTTGCATAAGAGTAATCAAATCATAGGCTTAAATAAAGAACTCCATTCCATTCCCCAAATTTTCTGTTGGCCATTAATCATTCATCGTAGCCTAACATTTTTAACGGTTCCACCACAAATCCATGGTAGACTAAAGCGCGCTCGACGAAAGCGCGTACGTGACGTCATCACAGCACGACGAAAACGGCACGCTGTGAGCGGTAATTTTAAAATTA